CGCGGGGCTGTGGCGACGCGCGCGGCCGTCGGCCTTGGCGGGGCGCCGGCGGTCTTTCGCCCATCGGACGCGGCGGTGGCGGCGAGGGCGGCGCGGATGGCAGTAGCGCCGGCGGCGGCAGCGGCTGCGGCGGCGCCGGCGGAGGGCGCGCCGGTGGCCGGCGAGGGCGCGCCGGCTCTCAGCGACTCTGCCGGGCTCAAGGACGCGCGCCACGTCGCTCGCGGCTCAAAGTGCATGTCCCACGCGGCGGTGGAGAAGCGCGCGGCGGCCAAGGCGAAGCGGGAAGCCAGGTGAGAAAGTCTCACACCAGCCACCAGGCCGTCCTCGCGGTGTCATGGTTTTCGTTTTGACGACAACACCACTGTCCGTGAACGGCGCGGGATTGGTATTGGGCGCGTTCACTGATCTCTTGTTCTTGACGGACCACGCACCTCGCTCTCCTCCGTGTGACGGCGGAGTTGACGCCTCCGACGGTCGTAGCGGCGTGGCTGAGGGCGGCGGTGGAGGCCGGGCGCCCGATAGCGCGGCGAGGATGGTCTCATGGGTCTAGCAAACCATAGACGACACCAAGAGAACGCGAGGTAAAACCCGACGGCTATGGATGGTAAAAGGCGGCGGTAAAACCCATCCACACGGGTTTCGGTGGGTTGGATGGGAGGTAGAATGTCTACCTACCGGGCAGTGGCGGCAGCTGCTGCGGTGGCGGCCGCAGCACTGGTGGCGGCGGCCGCATGGCAGGCGCTGAGCCTGCGGGTGGATTGGCGTGTTGGGCTGGCGCTGGACCGCGATCAGAGCTGATACCATGTGACGGCGGAGTTGACGCCTCCGACGGTCGTAGCGGCGTGGCTGAGGGCGGCGGTGGAGGCGCCCGATAGCGCGGCGAGGATGGTCTCATGGGTCTAGCAAACCATAGACGACACCAAGAGAACGCGAGGTAAAACCCGACGGCTATGGATGGTAAAAGGCGGCGGTAAAACCCATCCACACGGGTTTCGGTGGGTTGGATGGGAGGTAGAATGTCTACCTACCGCACTCCGTCCTCAAAGCTCGCCCCTCGGTCTCCGCGCGGCTCCCCCGTTCTTAGAGATCTTACATCTTAGCGTTTTTACGACAAACACACGCTCACACACGTTTTTGCTAAAGCCTAAACGACCCCCCCACCCCCCCACCCCCCCCACCCCCCACCCCACCCTCCTCCTGCCTCCCCAACGGCAACGCCACCACCCCGTTTTGGCGTCCGCCCACCCCACGCGTGCACGTCTACGTCTCTACGTACTACGAGAAGACAAACAGTGATCAGTGTGTGTGCGGTCCTCCTCGCCCTCCAAGTGGGAGAGGGTGACGTGCCGCCAAAGTTGTGGTTTGTCGGTTGACGTTGTGAAGTTGGGGAAGGAGAGAGAGTTTGTAAGTTGATTGAGTTTGTATGTAGGTGTCATAGGAATCCTACCTAGCCACAACATATGAATAGAGTCTCTGCTAAAAATCTAAGGGGCACTCTCACACACACAAAAATTAATCTCTCTCTCTCTCTCTCTCTCTCTCTCTCTCTCTCTCTCTCTCTCTCTCTCTCTCTCTCTCTCTCTCTCTCTCTCTCTCTCTCTCTCTCTCTCTCTCTCTCTCTCTCTCTCTCTCTCTCTCTCTCTCTCTGCGCTCTCACACAGTCACACTCTCAGAAACTCCATCCATCCATGGGGGGGGCGCTACAGTTGTAGGGGGCGCGGGGAGGATGTGATGAGGCCGTGTACGACCATTCTAGGCAGCCCCTTGATTGCGTATACCCCAAATCCAAGTTCTCAGTCTCTTTTACCGGTGGTACGAGGCAACTAGGGGTAAGGCCCTGATTGCGCTCGGGAGCCCCACCTTGAGTTTCGTCGTCTCCCCAGAGTTCAGGGAGGCGTGCACGCTCCCGTCCAGATGCCTCTCACCTCGGTTCAATCGCTGCTCGCCGGCTCCACGCCGTCCAAGGTCGACCCCGTCGTCGAGGCCTTCAACAAGAACTCGCGCTCTGCAAAGTTCTCCGCCAAGGAGGACATCAACGAGAAGCAGCAGGAGATTGTCGTCAACGCTTGCTCAGCCGCGCTCGTCCAGGCAGTCACCACGCGCCCGCCGCGCGCCTGCTCGCCGCGTCGGCCCACACTCGGCCCCGTCGCCCCTCCCGCGCCCCGTCCACCCCGCATTCGCCGGCGAGAAGCCCTCCCTCTCCCGGCGCCTCACGACCGCGCGTGCCGCCTCCTTGCAGGAAGCCCTCAACACCATGCCCGACTCGTACCTCGCGGACTCGGGCGCGCTGGTGGTGCGCTCCGGCGCCAAGACGGGCCGCTCGCCCAAGGACAAGCGCGTCGTCGCCGAGCCCGGCTCGGAGGACAACGTGTGGTGGGGCCGCGTCAACATCAAGATGACCGAGCCTGCCTTCATGATCAACCGCGAGCGCGCGATCGACTACCTCAACACGCGCAAGTCGGTGTACGTGATCGACGGGTACGCCGGCTGGGATCCCGCCTACCGCGTGCGCGTGCGCGTCGTCTGCGCCCTCGCCTACCACGCGCTCTTCATGCGCAACATGCTGGTGATGCCCGAGGAGCTGCCCGAGGACGAGCGCGAGGAGGGCGACTTCGTGCCCGACTTCACGATCCTGAACGCGGGCGGCTTCCCGGCCAACCGGTACGTCGAGGGCATGACCTCCTCCTGCTCCGTCGACCTCCACCTCGGCCGCATGGAGATGGTCATCCTCGGCACGCAGTACGCGGGCGAGATGAAGAAGGGCATCCTCACGCTCGTCATGTACACGATGCCGCTCGCCAAGCAGCTGCCGCTGCACTCCTCGGCCAACGAGGACGCCGACGGCAACGTCACCCTCTTCTTCGGCCTCTCGGGCACCGGCAAGACCACCCTCTCCGCCGACCCGCGCCGCAACCTCATCGGCGACGACGAGCACGTCTGGACCGACCGCGGAGTCTTCAACGTCGAGGGCGGCTGCTACGCCAAGTGCGTGGGCCTGTCGGCGGAGAAGGAGCCCGAGATCTTCGGCGCGGTCCGGTTCGGCTCCGTCCTCGAGAACGTCATCATGGACCTCGACGCGCGCTCCGTCGACTATGACGACATCTCGGTGACCGAGAACACGCGCTGCGCGTACCCGCTCTCGTACATCCCAAACGCAAAGTCGCCGGCGGTGGGCGGGCACCCGAAGAACGTGGTGCTGCTCACGTGCGACGGGTACGGCGTGCTGCCCCCCATCTCCAAGCTCACCCCCGACCAGGTCATCTACCACTTCATCGCTGGCTACACCTCAAAGATGGCCGGCACCGAGGAGGGCATCACGAAGCCGGTCGCCGCATTCTCCGCGTGCTACGGCGAGCCGTTCCTGGTGTGGCACCCGATCAAGTACGGCACGATGCTCGCTGAGCGGCTGAAGCAGCACGGCGCCAACGCCTGGCTCCTCAACACCGGCTGGGTCGGCGGCGCGGCGAAGGGGCGGCGCTGCCCGCTGCAGTACACGCGCGCGATCGTCGACGCGATCCACGCGGGCGAGCTTGCGAACGCGCACTGCGACACGGAGCCCTTCTTCGGGCTCAAGTACCCGACCAAGGTGAAGGGCGTGCCCGACTCGCTCCTCAACCCCGCCGCCTCGTGGGAGAGCCAGGCCGACTTCGAGGCGACCTCGAAGGAGCTCGCCGCCCTCTTCAACAAAAACTTTGAGCAGTACTTGGGCGACGTGCCCGAGGCGGTGGCGCAGCAGGGCCCCGGGCAGACCAAGATGGCCTACCCCGCGGCCGCCGGCTCAAACAACTAGCGCCGCCGCCCGCCAGCTGGCCCGCGGCACGCGCGCGGCGCGCCCCGGCAGCCGGCAGCCGGCGCGGCTGTGCACATGCCCTGTACTTTCCCTTCGGGAGCCGGTCTGCTTCTTCTATTGTGGTCTCGTATTTGTGGGCGCGCCGCGGGCGCCACGCGCCGCCGCTCCGACACAACGCTCTCGACGCCTTCCCCGCTCTCGTCTTTTGTGAGTCCGACTGTGTGGCCTTCAGTCTTCAGAGTGTGTTTAGCGTAGCTTGAGTGCAGGAGGCCGACTGCACGCTAAAGGCTACACGCTCGCACACCACTTGCTGAGTGGCTCTCCCGGGTGCTCAGCCCACGGCGGAGGCACGCCATTCCCCGGGCAGCCGGCCGTCACTCGCCTAAGCGCCTAAGCGGCCTACGGCTCTAAGCGCGCGGGGGTGCTTAGGGTGCTTAGGCGCTTAGGCGGCCCTTGCGAGCGTGGCGGCGTGGTGGTATCGTAATACAAGTGACTCCGATGACACACATGATGCTCCTGCTAGTGTCATCGCTCAGAGAGCAGCCTCACCGCGTCGAAAGTCTAACCACTGGCCCTGGTCGCACACCGCCGCTGAGCTGTGATGATGCCCACAGCACCAGCAGCAAAGGCGGGCGGGCCGACCCCGCGGCCATCGCCGCCGCTGCCGCCTCCTCCGCCGCCGCCGCCGCCCCCTCCGCCGTCGCCGTCACCTTGGGCTGCATCACCCGCGCCGCGTCGCGCACCGGCTCGTGCTCATTCAAAGGCGCCTCGAGTTGCAGGCCAGCGGCACTGGCGTTGTCGTGGTCAGGCTGCCCAACGTCGGCGCGGGAGGGAGGGGGCAAAGCCGTTATGAAGAGCGCGAGAGCGAGCGCCGACGGCCCAGATTCTGAGCAGCAGCCCGCCTGGTCATGGGCCACTTGCCTACGTGCGTCCAGCTTCCACTATAGGACGAACGTCGAAGTTTGCTCTCCGACGCCGTGCCGAGCGAAACCTTTTCCTTCGAAGCCCGGCGACGTAGCCGGGCGAGCGGAATAGGGCAGCCCTAGAGAGCACCTTGAGGCCATTCAATAGAGCCCGTGGTATAGTCGAGAGTCGATCGCCGGCCGGCGCAGTGCTGCTCTGACCGCTCCGCCGGGCCGCCTCCGGGCCGCCGCCGCGGAGACGTGCACATAGGCAAGTTGGTATTTTCATATATGAACTTCAAAATACCATTGGCTAATCTAATTCTACTCATCACAACTCGCCAGAAACACCCCCACACTATAGGGTCATTGTGTAGCCCTGCTTAGAAGGAAAAGGTTTTGTGCAAGGTCCGTATGGCTCACCGTGTAGTCGGCCAGGATCGAGACACACTGCGGCTTTTGCCATGGCTGTTTGGCGCTGATGATGGAGGCTGTCGGCACGATCCGTCTACTGGACGCTCCACTCGGTTCTCACTTCCGCGTCATTTCGCGTTTTTCTTTTCAAAATTCCGTTTTCTAAATACTAAAACGAAAAAGCCCCCGCCTCCCCCACAAAAAGGGAACCCTGCACAAAGATCGCACGGGCGGGGACCTGTTCCTTTTTACCCATCCCGTCTTTATTTATTGCAGCTGCGTAATCGTCGGCCCGCGTGCGCGGCTTTTCACGGCCTGTGCCGGCGAATTGGCGTTCACGCGCTGAATCATCATCGTCATGGCTGCTGTCTCGCTCGCTCGTGCGTCCTTGGAACTTGTGCCCGCCTCCTTTCACCTACGAGCTCGTATGCCACGTCGCCGCCTCTATGTTTGCGATTTGGAATTTGGTATTTGGAGCACTTGGAGTGCAGACGGCAACCTCACATCCAGGAAGAAGAGGACGACTTGCGACCGTTGGATGTACTCCTCGAGCGCCCCAATATCCTTTAGATCATCCACCTGTGCGCGCACCGCGGAGCGTGAGAGGTGTTCTGAGTGTGTAGCTAGCGCGGCTGAGCATCTGCGCGCGTCGAGAAAGATCTTGATATCCGGCAGCAGCTGCTTGAGCTCACCCTTGATGACCTTCACGGCGTCTTGACCGGTCGACCTATTCATTTGGGTAAGGGGCGGGGGTGACCGGGCCGTTTTCTGTTCCCTGTTTTCGCGCCATGACTCACCAGATGTGGCTGTTGAAGAGGTGCCACGTGAGGCCGAGCACGATGCTCAGCTCGGGGGGCTGCTTGGTCGAGACGATCCGGATCGTGGGGATCATGGCGACGCGGCGGGCGACGATGACGGCGCCGATGAGGAAGAAGAGGACCGTCACGCCGACGAGGACGAGCATCGAGTTGACGATGCCGTTCAGCTTGCCAAACCCGAGGATGGCGGCGGCCTCCTCTGTGTCGGGGTGCCGCTCCTCAATGCCGAGGAAAGTGGTGGTCCAGCTGGCGCCAAGGAAGAGGAGGAGGAGCACGAGACTGGTCGCGACGGCTAGCACGTCGTCGCCGACCCGCTTGTACGGCCGCACGGCGGCGAGCGCGACGGCGTAGCATGAGCAGACTAGGGTCGCCACCACCAAGCGAAGAAAGGCTCGCTCCTCCGGGATCAGCAGCACGAAGCCGGTCAGTACGAGCTTGCGCGTCAGCTCGACGGCCTCCCACCAGAAATAGGTCGTTTCGTACTCACGATGGAGGAAGGCGGTGGCCCGGGTCAGCGCAGTCGGCGTCTTGGCCTGCAGCGGCTTGTAGCAAGCGGCGAGGAGCGACATGAAGAGGACTATCGAGCCGACCGGCCAGAGGACGATGAAGCCGATGGCGAGGTCGGTGATGGACTCGTGATCCTCGGAGCCGCACTCGACGCTCGCGTCCAGCCGCATGTAGGAGACCTGCTGCAGGGGCTCATCAGGCGGAGAGATGGTGTAGGCCTATCAGCACAACATCGCGAGGGCTGAGGGGTGGGAGGTGTGAGCAACGGCAATCATCAGCCGCGAGGGCGCCTGGCACGACCAGGAGCGGAAGATGGAGGCGCTGATGGAGGGCACGAAGCAGAAGATGAGCACAAGGCCCGCCGGCGTGAGGTCGAGGAGACCGAGGGCCGCCTCCGCGTACCACGATCTCTCGCGCGGCGCCGGGGCAGCACGCCAGCCGTGGAGCCGCAGACTTATTCCCGCAACCATTAGCAGGGCGATGAGGGCGACGGGGGAAAGGGCGATGGCGAGGAGCCGCAGCGCGTAGCCGAGGCACTGCTCCGGCAGGAAGACGCCTGACCAGTCGATGGACATCGCGTTGGCCAGCCGGTCGGTCCATCCCGTGTACTCCTCCGGCAGCCGCGCGGAGTAGGTGGACGATAAGACGGTGCAGATCTGATAGAAGCCGAAGAGGATCTTCAGCTTTGCCGTCAGGCCAATCGCGACGTACCAGTAGACGGCACGGTCCGCGAGGCGGAGCAGAAGGCCGATGTAGGACTTCTCCCGCCACTCTGTCATGCTGTAGCAATACGCCGCCAGGCCGCACGCGACGCAGAGGCCGAGGACGAGGCCGACGATGCGGCCAGCCGCCGCGCCGCGCGGAGTGCACTCCTGGCACTTGTCGCCGTCGACGAGGTAGTGATTCTCCGCGGCGCAGAGCTGGCACTCGGGGCCGTTGAAGTCCGAAGCGCAGTACTCCGAGCCCGCCTCCTCCATCGTCCGGCGGCGAGAATCGTCTACCGGCTCGCTGCCGGCGCACCGCGCCTCGCCGGCCCTTTCGCCCCCGAAGCCGCGGCACGCGGTCAGCACGGCGGAGGAGGGGCTGGCGCGCCAGAACCCAGGCGGGAGGACGAGGGACGAAAGGGTAGTGTTGTCCGGGCAGGCAGCGTTCGGCGGGCAAGGCTTGCAGTATTCGGCTGGGGATTTGTAGATCTCCTCCGGGTCGGCCACGGTGTTCCGCAAGTAGTAGTCGTAGATGCAAAACGAGCAGGTGGTACTGCCGTTGACCGAGCTGAGGGGATGAGGACACCGATTGCAAAGGCCCTGGCCGGCGTTGGCAGCATAACGACCAGCCTCACACGCGTCGCACGAGTCGCTGCCTCGATCCGACGAGGTGCCGGGAGGGCAAGCCTCGCACTTGGCCTGCCCCTCTTCTGCGGCGAAGGTGCCAGGCGAGCACGGCGTCGGCTCGACGCTGCCCGTGGAGCAGGCGCTGCCGGCGGGACAGGCCGTGCACTCGCTCGCGGCGGTGAGGTTGGTTGCGCGCGAGTAGCTGCCCTTCTCGCACGGCAGCGGCGCCGCCGCGCCCTCGGCGCAATAGCTGCCCTGTTTGCACGCGAGGCAGCCTGTCGCGCCCGTGTCGTCCTGGTAGGTCCCACCAGCGCAAAGCTCGCACTTGGTGAGGCCAAACGTGACGGCGTAGCTGCCCTTGGCGCACGGCGTCTGCTGCGTCGAGCCCGTGGTGGCGAAGTAGCCCGGCGAGGCGGCTGTGCACTCGCTCGCGGCGGTCGCGCCCTGGTAGGAGCCCTCGGCGCACAGCTCGCAGACCTCGTTGCGCGTGCCGTTGGCGAAGCTGCCCTCGCCGCACGCCGTCTGCTCGGTGGCGCCCCGGGCAGCGATGTAGCCCGGATCGGCGGGCGCGCACTGCGACGCGGCCGACAGGTTCGTCTTGTCCGAGTAGGAACCGCCCTCGCAAGGCAACGGCCTCGACGCGCCCGGCTCGCAGTAGCTGCCCGCCTCGCAGTCGCGGCAGGACGTCGCGCCCGTGTCGTTCTGGTAGGATCCGGCGGAGCAGCGCTCGCACTTGGAGAGGCCATGCGTGGCGGCGAAATAGCCGGGCTCACAGGGCTCGCACGTCTCGCTGCTCTCCGCCCCTGGTGCCGCGCTCGCCGTGCCGATGGGGCACAGCTCGCACGCCGCGCTCGAGCTGGAGCCTCTGTTCGGGTTGAAGCTTCCCGCAGGGCAAGGCTGCCAGACAAGGCGAGTGGCGGCGCCCGCGTCCTCGCAGACGCCGCCCTTCGGGCAGGCTTCGCAGGCGGCACTGCGCACGTCGGGGGAGAAGGAGCCCGCGGCGCAAGGCAAGCACTCCTCTTGGCCGCTCTCTGGCTGGTATTGGCCGGGCGCGCAAAGGAAGCAGTCCGAAATGCTCGCCGCCCGCCTGTTGGGCATGTGGGTGCCGGCGGGGCACTTCTGTGGGAGGACGGATCCCTCCCGGCAGAAATGGCCGAGCCAGCAGGGGCCGCTGCAGTCGGAGGTGATGTGGTTCGACGCGTCCCCGTAGTGACCCTCCGCGCAGAGCCTGTTGCAGCCGGACAGGTCGCCGTCGATCTGGCCGACGTTCGGCATCCAAGATCCGAGCGGGCAGTCCCACGTTAGAGGCGAGGCGGCGAGGATTGTGATGTTTCCTGGCGCAGAGTTGCCGAAGAAGGTCGTGTTGCGGAGGATCGAGTCGGTGGCAGCGATGCGGGAGGTGAAGAAGAGTGCAGCGGGGGTTTGGCTCGCAATGTTGTCGACAAACTGCGAGTTGGTGAGAGCTAAGCGGTCGACGGCAGTGAGATAAAGAGCCTACAAAAGAACACAGTCTGGTCTCCCGTTTCAGTCTGTGCACCCTCTTGTGGAGGGGGCGCGCGGCACCGCACGTGAGCCACTCGTGCAACCGACAACGCTGGACCCCTCGAGCGAGACGTCGCCGCTGTTCCACACAGACATACCTCCTCCGTCCTGCGCGAGTTGGGGCGGGCAGGCATGAGCGGCGAGGGCGTCAGAGAGCGAGAGAGGGCGGGCAGGCCCAGGGCGGCCCTTTGGGGAAATCGTGCCCCCCTTGCCACCCCTTGTCCCTCTCCCTTCTTCTCCCGCTTCTGGCTGAGGCGATGGCGTGCGTGCGTGTGTGCGCGGGGGAGGCAAGCGTGTGCGGGCGTACGCACCCTGCCAGACGTGCACTCGCTGAAACTGGCGCCGTCCAGCGAGACGCCGACGCTGCTGTACACGAACATGCCTCCTCCGTCCTGCGCGAGTTGGGGCGGGCAGGCATGAGCGGCGAGGCCGTCAGAGAGCGAGAGAGGGCGGGCAGGCCCAGAGCGGCCCTTTGGGGAAATCGTGCCCCCCTTTGCAACCCCGTCGTCAATCTGTTCTTCTCGCTTCCGGCGCCGTGATGGCGTGCGAGCGTGTGTGTGCGGGGGGAGGCAAGCGTGTGCGGGCGTGGGAGACGCACCTTGACAGCCGTGCACTCGCTGAAGCTGGCGCCCTCCAGCGTGACGTCGCCGCTGCGGTACACGTTCATACCTCCTCCGGACTGCGCGAGGGCGACAGTGCAAGCGGGGCGTCAGGGGCGTGGGGCTGCTCAGGCTAGCCACAAGGCAATGGGAGAGACATGCGACTAAGAGTGGCGAGGGCTTGCGGGGCCGAGCGGTGCGTGGGAGAGAGGGGCGGCTCACCTCGCTGGCCTCGCAGCCCGTGAAGGACACGTCCTTCATCGCAATGTCGCCAGCGCCATAAGCGTACACCGCACCGCCATAACCAGCACGCCCGTCCACAAAGTGCAGCGCCTCCAGGTAGAGGCTGCAGCCGCCCGAGATGTAGAACATGTTGGAGCTCTTCTTGCCGTCGAGCGTCGCGCCCTCCCCGCTGCTCCGGACCGAGAGGTGCATGTCGCCGCTGCACTCGACGTTGCTGCTAAAGGCAAGGCGGGCGCCCGGCGGGATGAAGACGCTCGCGTTGCGGCCCTGGTCCACGGCCTTGTTGATCTCGTCCCGGATGCCTTGAGGCGTGTGGGCGACGGCCTCGCCGGGGACGAGCGGGGGCAGCGGCGGTGGCGGCAGCCGCGGCGGTGACCGCGGTGGTGACGGCGGGGAGGGCGGCGGGGAGGGCGGCGCAAACGGCACAACAAAAGACTTCCGCTCCTCATACCCGTCGGCAACGGCGAGGCCCTCCTGCCCGAGGCCCGACCAGCTAGCGCCCTCCCAGCCGTCGCCGTACGAGTCCTTCATGACGAGCTCGCACTCGACGCCGGGCGAGAGGGAGACGCCGTACTCGGTCTGGAAGTCTGGGCAGAGCCCCCACCGACACTCGTCTGAACCGGTGTAGGGCACCGACGAGAGGACGACTTCGCCGCCGCACCAGAAGTCCCAGCTCACCTCGCTAGGCCACGATCCCGGCGTCGTGGTGACGGTGTAGTATGCGAGCGGGTACGAGGGCGGAGACGGAGGCGGCAGCGGCGGCGGCACCCCCCAAAGTCCGGAGCCCTGCTCACCAAAGCCAGCCTCGCCAGAGCCAGCCTTGCCAGAGCCAGCCTCGCCCGAGCCAGCCCGAGCCACGGGGAGGAAGCAGAGCAGCAGCAGGAAGGCCACCAAGCCGCGACTCTTGCTCAGCCGGGGACGGACCGCCTTGCTGGCTCGCTGCCCCAAGGCTGCACCGGAGCGCGGCGCGCACATGCCCAACAGCCCGCCGCCGCTGGTTGCGCCGAAGCGCTGCGCCCACTTGCATAGCAGCCCGCCGCCGGCTGCGAGGATGCGGAGCAGCAGCAGCCCACTGCCGCAGGCTGCGAGGAGGAGAAGCATGACCGCGTCTGAGCCATCTATGACCGTCGCCTCAAGGATCTCGCGAGGGATGGTCGCCGCATCCGGCGGCTCGGTGACAGACTCGCGAGAAGCGTCCGCCGGTCCGACGACCGCCCGCCGCCCGCCCAATCTGGCGTGCACGCAGGAGTCGGGAGGAAGCGAGGCACATACGGTGGGAAGGGCAACGATGGTCGCGAGGATGCAGATCATCAACGAGAGGAACCGTGGAGTGAGTGAACGCGAGCAAAGACAGGGTCTGTCGCAAGTTTTCTTTTTGTTCGATTTTAGTTCGATCGAACATAAAAAAGAGCGGCAAGCTGAAAAAACGGATTCGGCGTACTTCGGCTCGCTGCACCAGCACCAGAGCGTGGGGGTCCACGCCGGGAGGCGGCTGAGCCAGCCTTCGTTCGGCCTGGCTATACACAATTGCTCACACCGATATTCCCGTGCCTCATCGCATCTCATCGCGCACGCCTCTACACTTACCGCCACACCCCGCTCACAAGGCCGCCGTTTTTTTCTTGCGAGCCTCAAAGCGGCTTACGCTGGGGTTCTCATGCCAGCACCGCCGCCCAAACCCGTCCGCCGACCTCTCGACCTGCCCGGCCTGGGAAAGACGTCGCACGCCCGCCAGGCCTTTGTCATATCTTGGGTATCGGTCACGCTTTCGGTCGTTGCGGCGGCGGTCGGCATCTGGCTCTCCATCGTAGAGGGCTCGCTCGTAGATGCGGAATCGGTGTCCCTGTTTGACGCGCCGCTTGGACACGCGCAGTGAAGGGCTTTGCGAGTTGTCTCACGGCCTTCTCTGCGGTAAAGATGCACGACGCAGTCAGACGACTGCCACACCGTCGTGGTATGGGTGGACGCTGGACGGATGCTGACGGCCACAGAAGCGACACACAGGCCACACAACACAAGGCACTCAGACAGCGGTGCTACCCACACGTCCTGAGACAGTCATGGCTGCTGCAATCTTCTCTAGGTTCGACACTCACACCGCTCACACCGTTTAATGCCGTGGCTCCTGTCTCTTAGACGCCGAGTCGCGAGGGCTGCCTGGCCCTTGCCCCACCACCTCGTGTGTGTGTGTGTGTGTGTGTGAGGAGAAGCTCCCATCCTTACCTTCACTGTCCTTACCTTACATTAGGCTCGACCGCGACGCTCGGGTTCGCTCTTGAGAACTCTGTCGACGCCTTCTCGAGCGGCCTCTGCCGGTGGACCTAGAAGCACGCAAGCTTGTATCCCAACCAGCGCTCGAGAGGACACGCACTCCCCATATCTCCCCACATCTCCCCACATCTCGCAGTCCAAGCTGAGGCCCTCCCCAGCGGAACACGGGTTCTTGTCTCCCAACCAGCGCTCGAGAGGGCACGCACTCCGCCGTAGTCAGCCGCGTGCCGCGGTGCTCACTGCACTCGCAGCCCCGTGTGCTCACGCGCAGCTCTGCGGACTCTGCGCAACACCGTGTCCTCACCCTGATGCGGGCGCCTCTTCCTCACGCACGCACACACACACACACACACACACACACACACACACACACACACACACACACACACACACACACACACACACACCGCTCACCCACGCGCACTGGGCCTTGCACTTTGAATGCCGTGCTAGCTCCTGTCGTTAGACGTGGAGACGCGAGGGTCGCCCCCCCTTGCCCCACCACCTCGTGTGTGTGGAGAAGTGTACCTTACCTTACCTTACCTCTTCATCACGCAGGCCTGTGGCGCTAGAAGCTGAATACGTATTCATGTAATCCAACTAGCGCCCGAGAGGACACGCACTCAGCCGTATTCGGCCGTATTCAGCCGTATTCACTGTACTCGCCTCCGTTGTACTCACGCGGTGCTCTGAACACGCTGCACAATACCGTCTTCCCGGCCTGAGGTTGGCGTCTTCAACACGCAGGCCTGTGGCGCTTCTGGGGCGCGGCTCGTCCGTGCCGGAGACGGCTGCTGTGAACGGCGTCTCCTCACACCTCGAGCTGTGAAACAGGCGGCGGCGCGTCCGTGTCGGAGAACGGCCCTAGATGCGGAATATCTCCCCATATCTCCCCATATCTCGGGCCCTAGATGAGGGACACGGACTCTTGTCTCCCAACCAGCACTCGAGAGACACGCACTCCGCTGCACTCCGCTGTACTCCTCTCCGTTGTCTTCACGCGGTGCTCTGATGGCGCTGCACAACACCGTCTTCCCGCCTTGATGCCGGCGTGTTCAGCGCGTCGGCTCTAGTGTGCGCGCTCTGGCAACCAGACGTATTCGCGCCCTCATGTCGGCGTATTCAGCACGTAGGAGGGCGAGCTCGAGCGGCGAGAGAAGCGGGCGTCGGTCGGCATCGCCGCGCTCTTTGTGGTCGGCTGCTTAGACCCCCATATCTCCTCATACCTCCCCATATCCCCCCACATCTCCCGATAGCATCGCCGCTCTGTGTGGTGGGGCTGTCTAGATCCCCATATCTCCCCATATCTCCCCATATCTCGCCATATATCCCGACATCTCCCCAACTCTCCCGACATCTCCCCGCCGCGCTCCTCGTGGTCGCTCGCCTTTTGGATGAGCCGAACGGTCGCGGCACCTTCCGGGAAACTTCTTGTGGATGGAACTCCCCATCTCGCCATATCTCCCCATATCTCGAGGCCTAGGTGCGGAATACAGACTCCCCACCTCGCCATCTCTCCCCACATCTCCCCACATCTCCCCATCTCCCCGGCGCAGGTGCTCGCCTTTGTGGTTGGCGGGATGGCGATCGAGCACCTGCAGCACGAGCACGAGGAGGAGGGCGAGCCCGGGGAGGCACTTCTCTACCTCTCCATACCCGGCTTCGTCGTCTTTGCGCTGCTCGGCCTCATCAAGCTCCGCCTCGGCTATAAGACCAGGCCCGCCATATCTCCCCCCACATCTCCCCCCATATCTCCCCACATCTCCCCACATCTCCCCACATCTCCCCACATCGCCCACACCGCCCACACCTCCCACACCTCCCACACCTCCCACACCTCCCACACCTCCCACACCTCCCACACCTCCCATATCTCCCATATCTCCCATATCTCCCCATAGACCCGCGCTGTGAACAGGTCCGCCTCGATGAAGAAGGACGCCATCTGCTCGCTGACCGGCACCGCCCTCCCCCTCCCCCCCCCCCTTCTCTCTCTCTCCCTCTCCCTCTCTCTCTCCCTCTCCCTCCCTCCCTCCCTCCCTCCCTCCCTCC